ATAACTTAATATATTATAACAGAAATGCATAAATATTTATTTATAAGAGTAATAATAGAATATATGATAACATCACATCACATAAGACCTCTAACATCGTAGCTATCAATAAATCTTTTTGAAGACTGCCCTTCTGTTTTGCCAAAAGAAATATAAAAACAATTTCTGCTCTAGTTATCATTATATAGATGGCCCCATCAAGTAGAGCTTCAACAGCTGAAACTCAGCTTGTCCGATTTTTGTCAATTGTGAGCTTGCACAAAACGGGAATACCTCAAACGTGTTACTTCACTCTACACAAATTGAACTTTCGCACGTGAACGCAATCAACGCGACGCCCAAAAGGGCATCCAGCGGAGTCGCGAGAGAGTGAGAGAGAGGGAGAGAGAGAGAAGTCTTTACGTTGGCAAATTAGCTGAAAATGGTGGCTTGGCGTGCGCCTTGGCCTGCAGCTGGCTGAATGGCTCAGTGGCCAAAGGGCTGGCTGGGCTTCCATTGCAGGTCAATGCCATGTGCACAGCTTGGCGCAGTCGAATCGATTGTAGCAGGCGCCCGGTTTGAGTTTTGACTGATATTACAGTCAGAACTCGCCCCAGTGCTGTTTATTCGATTAGGAAACTAAAAACAATCAGAAAATTCAAATTCAATAAATCAATCGAATTAAATTCTCCGTTTGTCGTTTTGGCCATGTCGCTGATACTCCTAGCCACGTTCACGGCCATTGTGATAGTGCGCATCTGCAACGAGGGCTCCAGCAAAATGGACCGCTTGCTCCTCGAGAATCTCTGGCTCTTTGTGCTCTTCCGCCTGCTCAACGAGCTGCACTTCGTCGCCGGCCTGCGCCGCTACCTGTGGCGCTGCCTCAGCAAACCGCGCCAGCGCCGCGTCGTCCTGGTCGCCCTCAGCGTTGTGCTGGCGATCGTCTTCGACGACAGCAGCAGCACCAGCACCAGCAGCAGCCAGAGCGGCTCGACGGCCTGGCTGAGCACCGAGCAGCAGCAGCGTCGCATCGATTGCCAGAACCAGGAAGACGCCTTCATTCTGCAGAAGCAAACCAATGCCACCCAATCGAACATTCCAATCATCGGGTATCCATGGGGCAACTGACCGACCAGGCAGGCTACAGCTTGCATAGAGCCCCGCACGCATTACCCACGTTCATGATCATCTGTTGACTATGTGCTAATTGCATTAGTTCATCGTGTTTATTACAAAGTATTCACTAATTGCTTCAAGACCGACAAGGCCTTCTAAATTACTTCTTTCAATAATGGAGAGGACTTTGAGATTTACATACATGCATGTGTATATTATGAATGATCTATAGAAAACAAATGGATTAAATATATATTTTTCTAGCTCAGTTCGCCGCTCTAAACGTTCTTTAATCTACGTTCTATTTTATTATAGAGCATTTACACTAAATTCGCAAATCATTTTATATTTAAAAGAATCCTTAGCTATGCAAGACAATTCGAGAAGTAGTGCATTATTAACCTCGAATTACAAAGTTGAAAAGTTGTTCCGAATTGTGTTACTACTGAAAGCGGGGTTCTGTCTTAAATTTTGATGTGAACGCTGTAATAGTTAAAGGTCTTGATATAAGTAGTTAAAATTAACTGGCAGCTAGTTAACACTTTGTCCAGGCAAACGGTTCTGTTGGTGAGCCAAAACTACCCTAAGCAGATTCTACGTATGAAAGTAGGGTATAAGAACTGATACTACCTCTAGAGTATAGACTAACAAAAGAGCTGGAGATGAATAGAAACTCTATATATGGAATAAATCCACAATCGATAAATATCGATATTAACCTGGAACTATTAAATGAACAAATTTCGACTACAAAATCTGAAAATAGAACTAATATTATTATTATTTATCAGTATTATTATTATTATGATCATTATTATTATTATAATATGCACAAACCTGGATCTCTTCCCTGCTATGTTACGAGTCGAACTCCCATTTGGGCTTACATCATATCGTATAGCGTATATGAAAGAATAAACTACAATGGACTAAGTACTACCCACACGAATTTTCGCCGTGTGGGCGAAATCTAGAAATCTAATGGACTTATAGGGTATTTCCTAGTTGAGCAGTTTCTTTAATTACAAACTTTAGAGCTGTTAGCGTTTTTGCCGCCATTGCAGTTTGTGGCCATCAAATTGATGAGTTTTGGGATTACAGCGCTTTACGACCTTTCGTTTACAGCATTTGCACCCACCCAGGTGACAAGTTTAATACCTGCTCTACAATGACAGAATAGTAAACTTAAAATAGCATAAGCAAATGACCTACGATCTCGCTCTATGCATGCGATTGATGAGTGGGCCAATAAGTCCTAGCCCAAATATAAAACTAGGAAAAGTTTATAAGCAATAACAATATCTGGGGAAGAAAACAAGAATCTAACAGGTTTCACCATTGAAGAAGTTTGGGAAAGTTCTTAAATATCAGTTGCATTCAGTTCATTGCATTTCACTCCATCGGATAAGCCAATCTCCTTATACTATATTTACTATTATGATACTAAATATCTTTCCATGGTAATTATTCAGTCGATTCTACAAAGACAGCAATACGATACCAAACATTTAGGTTCCAGCAAATTGATGTTTATTCGTATAATAGAATGTTCTATAAATGACTATAACTAGATTATATTAAACTCTAAGAATCCATTATATGCTACATAGTATACTATACTATATTTATTCAGATGTTGCCTCTCCTTATAACATACTCCCTCTCTCTCTCTCTCCCTCCCTTACAGATTCACATTGTCGTACATTTTACTCTGCTCTGTCGTTTGGTGTTTGTACTTCGTGATCGATGGTGGATCGGTGGAGTTTTGGCGGCCCATCTCCACGTCGTTCTCGATGATGTCACTGGTCACAATAATGGCCATGTGCTTCACGCACTGGAACCTCTACAAGGAGCACCGAGTGCTGACGTCGGCATTGACCGCGCTGATACTATGCAGCGCCTCGCTGGGATTTCTCACGTACACGGGCCGGGCGTTCAGTCCGCTGGGTCACTTTGCCATTTGCCTGGAGATCGTGCTGCTCATCTATACGGCGCTGCCCATGCCCTTGTGGCTGGGCGCCAGCATTGCCATCTGCTATTCGATAGCCTTCGAGCTGGTCTCCCACATGGTCATCGTGGTGAGTGCCGTGCATGGCGCCACGGTGGGGACAACGCCAACGGAGGCGGCCGGCGGCAGCGATCCCAACCACAAGATACTCATGCTCCGCATCATGGCGCATCTGAGTGTGCATCTAGTCGGCGTGCATGTGCTGATCATGAATCTGGTGCGCATGCGCGGCACCTTCATGAAGGTCGGACAGAATTTGCTGGTGCGACGCCAGCTGGAGATGGAGAAACAGCTCAAGGAGAAGATGATCCACTCGGTGATGCCGCCCAAGGTGGCCGACATGCTGCTCAACGAGGGCGGCAGCGGCGGTCTCGACCCGAACCAGCCACCCGAATCGCACTACATGCGTCCACGCGCCTCCCACGACGTCAAGTCCCTCTTCCGGCCCTTCCACATGCACAGCATGGATAACGTGAGCATTCTGTTCGCCGACATTGTGGGCTTCACGCGCATGTCCTCCACCAAGACGGCCGAGCAGCTGGTCGAGATCCTGAACGATCTCTTCGAGCGCTTCGATGACCTCTGCTCGCTCAGCGGCTGCGAGAAAATCTCCACCCTGGGCGATTGTTACTATTGTGTCTCGGGCTGCCCGGAGCCTCGAGCCGATCACGCCATCTGCTGCGTCGAAATGGGCCTCGGCATGATCGATGCGATGCGCTGCTTCGACGCCCAGCGCCACGAGGGCGTCAAGATGCGAGTGGGCGTACACACTGGCACCGTCCTCTGCGGCATTGTCGGCACGCGACGCGTCAAGTTCGACGTGTGGAGCAACGATGTCAGCCTGGCCAACAAGTGAGTGACATGACAACTCTAATCGGGATGCCCGACTGAGTAGACCCTGAGCCTGTATCGATTCTAGCAACACCGTCATCTCACTGCAAATCTAATTACATTACATCTACATTCCGTAGAATATACTAGAAATCACGCATTCGAATGTATATGTGCACACGTATAGGAAAAATCTTGCATATAATCTACATATTCTATAGAAGATTTGACAGTTTAGAAAAAGTACAAAATCATTCATATATTTGTTCTATTTACAACAGACCTTCAATTTAAAATACAGTAGAATTCGCTTATAGCGTCCATACGGTATTGTGGCGAAAATTCTGGTCCCCAATCAAACGTATATGGTCATAGCGTCTTCCTTGACCATTATAACCGAATTTTACTGTATAACAAAAATGAAAGTTTTATAAAACTCACATTAAATTCAATACTACATTTTGAGAGTCTAGCTCTAACGATGTATCTACAGTAGCATCAGGTTCCAACGACGCTCAAGGGACCGTCGTAATACCCGGGCGCTATAACTATATAAGCTTACACATATAAGTTTATCTGGGAACGGGATTGTCATACGTCCATATGGACGTTATAAGCGGAGTCGATATAGCCGGATTTGATCTGTTTTGGTATAATATCTTTAATCGATATCTTTAAAACGGCAATAGTTATCGATCTCTTAAACAAATGTAAACAAAATATTTCAAGTCTCTAGTTATAATTAGATCTGAAATCGATCGACTCCGCTCGTCAGCCAGAGCTCCCATGCCTCTTTCTGCCTATTACATACATTTAAATAAATCCCTTATACCTCGATCTGCCATATTCGATAGGTTCATGATATTCAGTGAAAGATCTTAACTCTGTCAGCCAACTGATCCACATGAAACTCTCGTTTTTATTTTCGCCAGAATGGAGTCCTCGGGCAAGCCGGAACAGGTGCACATCTCGCAGGAGACATCGAGCTTCTTGGGCGACGCCTACTACCTGGAGGAGGGCGAGGAGGTGTTTGGTAAGAAGCAAAAGCCAAATTCTCATCGATGCAATGCAATGCTAATGCCTCTATTTCTGTCTCCCTTTCCGTTTCCGTTTCTGTTTCCGTTTGAATGCCAGGTCATCGCACCTATTTCGTGGTGGGCCGTCGCCGAGATGTGTCCCGCGCCAACAGCCTGAGTCCGAGCATGGCGGCTACAGCTGCGGGCGGCAGCTCCCTGCTGATGCCCGGGTCGCAGGGCGCGTTCGCGTCGCTGTCGCAGAGCGCCACAAATATATCGGTGGTGCAGCCGCATGTGCCGCCCGCCTCGCCAGTGGGTCAGCTGTCCAACTCGCTGAAGTCGTCGCCCGTGCTGTCGATACGGCCACGCCTCACCTCGCTGAGCATGAAGCTGCGCAAGAAGTCGCAGGGACATTCGCATAGCCGCGACCGGGACCTGGAGCGGGGCATCATACATCCGGCGGCCGCTGGCATTCCGCCGGTGATAGTGGTGCGCGAACGGCCAAAGATTATCATCACCACCAAGTCGCTGCCGGGCAGCCTGGACTCCGATGAGCAGCCGCCATCGGAGGAGCAGCAACCACAGCAGACGACGGCACCGAACCAGCCGGACACACGCTCCAAGCTGAAGCTCAAGGTATGGAAAATGACCAGGCTTCTGAAGCTGACGGGTCGCCGGGACAAGGACAAGGACAGAGACAGGGATAAGAGCATTGGCGGCGAGAAGGAGCCAATACGTCCGCACTCCAATTCCTTGCCAGCGCCGGGCGACGAGACGGTCGCCTTCATTGACCCAGCATCGGGCGCAGCGACTGGCCAGAGCCAGCTGGGCAACGGCTGCGGCTACCAGCAGCTGCCGGTGCTCGTGGAGACGGCCTGCAGCACGCGGCTGAACAGCAACCAAATGCTGGACATACCCATGGGCCGGCCCGTGCTGCACCATGCAGCCACGACGACGGCCCTCTCCAGCAGCGCGATGCGCTCGCCGGACGGCAATGCGGCGACGGCAGCCAGCGGCGGCAGCTGCTGCTCGCCGGGCCAGTACTCCATGTACGACGACATCATCGATGTGCGCTCCTACATTAGCCAATCGCGCAGCGACATCTCGCCGTTTGGCCGCACCGGCAGCTATCGCTCCCAGTGCGGCCGCCAGTCGTCTGGCCAGTCCGTCGGGCAGGCGTTGGAGCAGTCGCCGTTGCCGCGGCCACGCGCCTCCACGCTGACTGCGTCCGGGCGAGCGCTAGGCACAGAGCCCAGCACCAGTGCCAATGCCAGTGCCAATGCCAATGCTAATGCCAATGCTAATGCCAATGCTAATGCCAATGCTAATGGTAATGCGAGCTCCAGCGGCTGCTGCCTGCCAGCGCCCGGACCCAGCGCCTATTCGCATTCGCGCAACTCGAGCATCTGGCCAGACGGCCTGAGCATTTGCCCGTCGGCCACCTCGCGCAAGGACTCGGGCATCAAGAGCAACTCGCGGCGCAGCTCCATACAGCAGCAGATCTATGCGCTCAACCAGTCGGCCATTAGCCAGCATCGCGTCTCCGGCTACTTTACCAGCTCCACGTCGAGCATCTCGAATTTGGGCGAGGGTGGGGCATTGCCGTTCCCGTTGCCACCGCCGCCGCCGGCGGCTGCGGCCCTGGCCGCCCAGCAGTCCGCCCAGCTGATCGATCCGCTGGCCGCCTGCCTGCAGCAGCTGCGCAAGCAGTCCGACCTGCAGCTCATCCGCTGCGTGCGGGACAATGCGCGCTCGCAGCGCAGCTATTTGGTGAAGGCGCCGCTGCGTCGCATCAGCTTGTACTTTAAGTCGCGGCAGCTGGAGCGCGACTTTCGGTCGAAGGCGCATCGCTTTGGCACCGAGAACGAGACGGAGGGGCCGCCGACGCTGGCCACGCCCCGCTACAACACATACATCGACATATTTGTGGGCATCGCCGTCTACCTGTGCATATCCATCTCGCTGTTCCTGATGACCCAGAACACGGTGACGCCCAGCTTCCGGCTGTGGGTGACGCTCTTCTCCTGCTTCACCGCCATCCAGGTGTTTGCCCTGTTCCTGTTCACGCGCCAGATGTGCCGGCGTCACGGCACCCGCATGCGCTCCAAGTCCACTGCCAGCGAGGCCAACAGCGAGGCGGGACCACCCCAGCCGCAGCCGGAGCAGTTCGAATCGTGCGCGGATCGGATCTTTGAGGCCATATCCAGCTGGTATCCGTGGCACATCTGCTTGGCCATCCTGATGGCCATGCCCGTCGTCCTGATCATCGCCAACTTTCTGCTGCTCGATCTCACCCAGCTGGAGGCCTTCGAGTATCACTATGGCTTCCTGATCTTCGTCTGCATCGTGCACTTCTGCAACTTCACGCAGCTCAACTGCTGGATGCGCAACGTGCTTGCGTTTCTGGCCGCGCTCTGCTTCATCGGCATCGCCGTCTCCCAGCTGACCGTCTACAACAGCAACCGGTCCGAGAACGAATCGGATGGCGAGCTCGAGTCGGAGCTGAACAGCAGTGCGGCTGCCTCGTACATCTTCGAGGAGATCAAGTGGTTCCGTGACTATCACGTGGAGATTTATCTGGACTTGCTGTTGATATTGATTCTGGTGTGGTTTCTCAATCGCGAATTCGAGGTCGGCTATCGGCTGACCTTCTACGGCAATGCGGTGGCCAACCAGGACAAGGTGCGCGTCCAGAACATGAAGAACCAGGCGGACATGCTGCTCCACAACATAATACCCAAACACGTGGCCGAGCACCTGAAGAACACGGCCAAGTACTCGGAGAACCATCACAATATCGCCATCATCTTTGCCTCCATTGTCAACTTCAACGAGATGTATGACGAGAGCTACCTGGGCGGCAAGGAGTTCCTGCGCGTGCTCAACGAGCTGATCGGGGACTTTGATGAGCTGCTGTCGCATCCGAAGTTTCGTGCCGTGGAGAAGATTAAGACCATCGGCTCGACATTTATGGCGGCCAGCGGGCTGGATCCATCGCATCGTGGCACCGGCGACGAGCACATCCACACCCTCATGGAGTTCGCCATCGAGATGCAGCGCGTGGTCAATGAGTTCAACAAGGATCTGCTCGAGTTCAATCTGATCCTGCGCATTGGCATGAACATTGGCGACGTGACGGCCGGCGTCATTGGCACCAGCAAGCTCTACTATGACATTTGGGGCGATGCCGTCAATGTGGCGTCGCGCATGGACTCGACGGGTCTGCCCAATCGCATACAGGTGGGCAAGGACTGCCTGCCCTTCCTGACCGCCTGCTATGAGTTTGAGCCGCGCGGCAGCGTTTATGTCAAGGGCAAGGATCACATGGAGGTGTTTCTCTTTACCAGGCGCCGGCCGCATCTCGAGGAGCAGCCCCCAAACGCGCAGCTAAACGAACTGACAGATCCCGACGAGGTGGCGGTCGAAGCTACCGAGAAGCCACAGACTCTACCTAACGATATTCAGATTGTTATAAATGACGGGCTGCAGGAGCTGAACGATGCAAATGCTGATGATGGGGACAAACAGGCGGAGCAGGAGCCGAAGCTGGAGATGCCAGAGCAGAATGCTGACGACGACGACGACGATGATGATGATGATGATGATGATGACGATGACGGCGACATGCATTCCAGCGAAACAACAACGCTGTTCAAGTCACAGGAGTCGTTGCATGGCCCGCATGCGAACGGAGGTGGCAGCCACTTCAATCCAGCGAACACAACCGAAGCTTGAGCAGGGCAACTCATCTGAATTCAAATCAAACTCAGACTTCAATTCGAACTCGAACTCGAACTCAACGCAACTCAATCTAAATGCACTTAGGCTTTGATCAACTCGACTCGACGAAATTCCTGGCTTGAAGCTTTTTGAGAAATGGTTTCAAAATTGCATTTATTATGTGTTGCAGTTGCCACAGCTGGACGGCACATCTGGCATTGCTGGCTGGATGGATGGATGGATGGATGATGACGAGTGGGGGGAAAGGAGACGTTGGGGGCGTGGGGAAGCGGATGAAACCGCACAATTTGTGATATGTAACTAATGTTGAATATGTATGATAAATCTGTTGGGGCACTTGAGCATGGATGTTACGCGATATTGTTATATGAAGAAGAAGAAGAAGAGGAAGAGGAGAAGAGGAAGAGGGAGCAGAAGAGAAATGTGCATTGTTGAGGTTACGTTGAATATAATACATATATGTATATTTATATATGCACAACATAGATCTGAAGCTAAAACCAACTCGTAGTATATGCCACTACATAGGGGCGTGGCAATGTGTACGTGTTTTACTTGTATTAGCCACTTATATATATACATATATATATTTATATGTAATCGCATAAATTAATCAAGGACCATAAGCCGTCGTTGAAAAGTTTGTGGTCGCTGTCGTTGGC